AAAGCAAATAAAGTGGTTATGTTCAAATCAACAAAATTAATAAAGTGGTTATATTCGGCAAAATAAATAATCAGTGAGATCGTGACGTGATATTTATTTTGAATCAATATGGACATTTTTGTTGCGCGTTTCGTTTAGAATAAATAGAGTGGTATGGTTGATGCCGTAAACATCATAACAGAAGAAAAAAGAAAAAAAAAAGAAAGAAAAAAAAGTTTAGTTTCATCTAAGCGGTTCTCTGTGACTAAACCTGGAGGTCTTTTTTGAGTATCCGCGTTCTTTATTTATTTTTTTTATTTTTTTTTACAATATCTTACAATACTTGTAACTTTTTAATTTATTTATCTTTTTTTTTACGATATCTTAGGATACTTGTAATTTTTCTTCTTTTTTTTATATGTATTTTAAATATTGTAAGAAGAACAAATAAATTTATAAGTTTAAAAATAAATAAAAAAGAGTTATTTGTAATCAGTATTTATGCGTTTTTTGTTACAATCTGTTATTTGGTTTTCGGCCGAACTGTCTGCAATATTCGGTCGAATACCGAATAGTAAAAAAAGTAGCCGAATACTGATTAATCACCGAATATTCGCGACATCTCTAATGTATACTATAAACAAATGTAATTGTTTTTTTTTTGTTTTTTTTTATAAATTAAAGTCAAGTTTTTTATATAAAAAAAATTTCAGCTATAATTTTGATCTCTAATTAAGAACTTTTTTTCATTTTTGTTTTCATTTTTGTTTCCATTTATATTTAAACAATTGATATTATAAAATTTCACTTTCTCTTAAAACATAACATTTCTTTACAAAAAAATATTATTATTTTTATTAATAATATATTATTCTAATTTAGTTTAATGAACAAATGTATTTCTCAGAAGTAATGATTAAGGTATTATAACTACTACTAAGAAGAGGCGATTCTACAAATAAATTGGGAAGGGGGGGGGTGAATCGCCAAATGTACAGACTGGCTCTTTAAAAAATAATAAAAAAGGTCCTCAAAACGAAAATTTAACCGACTAAATTGTGTCAAATACCCAACTAGCTGACTAAATTCGTAAAAAAACCGACTATAACTTGAAAATCACACACATGCACACACACACACAAACACAAACACACGCACACACACACGCAAACACGCACTCGCACACGCACACATTGTAAAGTCACCTCTGCTACTAAAAAATTTAATAGCTTTATCAAGATCGCCTAATTTCAATATTAAACTGAATTTATTTATTTTTTCTTACATTTGATTTTATCATTAAAAGTAACTTTGTTAAATAATAATATAACATACTAAATTTTTATTAATTGATTGAATTCATTATTAACCGATCAATTTTTTTATTAATCGAAATAATAGTTAAGCTTTCTATTTAATATATTTAAAAGTGAAAACATTTTAAATACTTTTTAACAAAATTAAAAACTAAAAACACTAAATTACTTTAATTTAAAAAAAAAAATACTTTTTTGGTTTCTGTATTTGAATTTAACTTTATTTTTAATAAAAATTAAAGATATTTTAAATAAAAAATAAAAAATTTCAAGAGAAAAAATGTCTAATTGAGGCTTTTTGTGATGTTTTCGTAGATACCCATGGGATTGATGAAGGTAATGAAGTGATGAAGGTAGTAAAGTAATAAAGTTAATGAAGTGATGAAGGTAATGAAACCTAAAAAATTGTTCACAACCCATTCTTACTTATCTTGAAAAAACCGACATAAGGAAACGAAAACTAGATGCCAGGAGCAAGGACATTTGCCGAGTTGAAATAAAAATAATTCTAAAAATTATAAACAAATGTGCTCATTACGATACTAATTTTCGTTTATGAGTAAATAGCT